TGTGTGATAGCAGCCTATAATAGTGCAAAACCATGGTTTGGTATTGGCATCTGAGCCATGCAGCTTTCTTGCTGGACAGCTCTTGCTGTACAACTCTTGCACTTGATTCCATGCCAGCCAGAGATCATCTAACCACTACAGTCCACATGGTTTCTGTTACAGACACAATGCAGTTTTGGAGCAGAAATATTTAGGCATCCTGTGACCAGCATGGAAACAGCTGCAGAAGTAGTGCAACTGCACCAGGAAGAGAGCATCTAGCCTAATTACCGTATTTTTCGGACCATAAGACGCACCTGACCATAAGACGCACCTAGTTTTTAGAGGAGGAAAAACTGGAAAAAAAATATTCTGAACCCTGGGGCTGTCATTCCAGTTCCTGAACACTCCTGGCACACCCTGGGGCTGTCATTCCACTCCGGGCCCTGTCATTGCAGTTCCTGAACAGTCCTGATCCACCCTGGGGCTGTCATTCCAGTCCGTGGCCTGTCATTCCAGTTCCTGAACACTCCTGGCACACCCTGGGGCTGTCATTCCACTCCGGGCCCTGTCATTGCAGTTCCTGAACAGTCCTGATCCACCCTGGGGCTGTCATTCCAGTCCGTGGCCTGTCATTCCAGTTCCTGAACACTCCTGCTCCACCCTGGGGCTGTCATTCCACTCCGTGGCCCTGTCATTCCAGTTCCTGAACACTCCTGGCACACCCTGGGGCTGTCATTCCACTCTTGGCCCTGTCATTCCAGTTCCTGAACACTCCTGCTCCACCCTGGGGCTGTCATTCCACTCTGTGGCCCTGTCATTCCAGTTCCTGAACACTCCTGCTCCACCCTGGGGCTGTCATTCCACTCCTGGCCCTGTCATTCCAGTTCCTGAAAACTCCTGGCACACCCTGGGGCTGTCATTCCACTCTTGGCCCTGTCATTCCAGTTCCTGAACACTCCTGCTCCACCCTGGGGCTGTCATTCCACTCTTGGCCCTGTCATTCCAGTTCCTGAACACTCCTGCTCCACCCTGGGGC